GAACCCTAGAACTCGAAATTTTAGAAAACCCCCAATTTCGATGAAACCCTAGATTCTAATTTCCTTAGATTCAGATCTCAAATTCATTATAGACTCTAAGGTAACAGGCTCTGATACCACTGTTGTAATAATCACTATCAAGAAACCAGAAACATAAACAATACCAAGCATCCACAAAATCAAGACACCACAATTTTTACCGTGGTTCACCTTTCCAAGAATGGGAAGGCTACGTCCACGTTGAGCTCCGGAAACGGATGAAGCTCATTACACTAATTTATGAACCAGCCCAATCACTCAACAAGTTACACAGAATCAAGATTTCAGAACAGTAAAGATGAACCCTAGAGAGCAAACCTAATACACAGTATCAATCGAAAGAAAACCCTATGAAAACTGAAGAAAAGTTTGCTTATATATCGTTGACCAGGATGGATTGAACTCTGCCGTTGGATCTCTTGAAGACTAATGGTCCATATTCATTCTTGAAACGGCAGCGTATTGGTTTTAAGTAACACAACATCGTTTCAGTCTTCACATTTACAGTAAGATTTTAATATTAGCTGCTTACTAAGGTTCCGTAAAAGTACACCGCACCCCCAAAGGTTTAGAAAAGTAACAAATGAACCCACATAGTTGGAAATATTATTTTATCCTCCATACCATTGTTATATTGTGAATTTGTAATCACTCAATATCTTCTCATCTCTTTCTTTTATGGTATTCAAGTATTTTATTTTTCTCCCTCTCTTTTCACCACTCTTTCTCGTCTTCCTCTAATAATGCTTCCAACTTTAATTCTTCTAAATTAAACTATATATATATATAAAACGCAGCTCCATTTGGTTAAAACGAATATTCATTATTAAAAAAAAAAAAAAAATACCCATGAACCTACATTACTCCAAGACCAAGTACAATACAAATATACACATGCCCATAGACACCTCCATGGATCTATAATTTAAAGTCCTTACTTTTAATCAATTTTTATACTCTTCCAATGGGTAAAGACTAATAAAACCTTAATCTGTTGAAGTAAATCACTGTAAAGTGTAAACTAACATCGTGGGTTCCAGTGCTAGTTTCCGAATTCTAGAGGTGTTGACGTTCTTTGAGCAAACCTAGGGAACTCAATGTTGATATACGCCAAATTAGACTATGCTTGTTGTCTTTTAATAAAGGAAAGGAATGCAACAATTCTTCTGGCTACAAAAACTCTTAAAACTCATGGAGTTATCGCAGAATATGATCTAATTAACCCGAGCAGCCATTGATTTATATGTTAGATTTAAATTTTTCTAAAGAGTAAGAATTTTTACAAACAGGGTTAAATTAAGAATTCAGTCTACATCATGACTTGATTTTCAGGAGGGACATTTGCATTGTACTCTCTAATATGCCGATATGCCAACGTGGGTTTGATCTCCACTCAACAAGCTGAGGACTCTAATATGACAAATTCCCAGGTTGAGTTGCCTCCGATCTCATCAAAACTAAAATCTAAGCTAGAAAAAAGTCATGTTGCCAAGTTTCTTCTATTCTTAGTTACTTTGCTTGCAACTTCCATGGTGATCGGTGATGGAATCCTCACTCCTTGTATCTCAGGTATAACCCGGCATGAATATTATTATAAAAATGATTTTGTATTATATGTCATTATTCTCATATTGATTATTTCTAGCTTATGGTACTGTGATTTGTCTGGTTACATCAATGACAGTTTTATCAGCTATGGAAGGCATCAAGGAAGCCTCAGCTGTAATGACGGAAGGTATATATATATCATAACTGTTGAATCTTATGTTTTATAATCTGGATATATGATTACTCCTAATATATCTACACACAGATAGGATTGTTTGGGTATCAGTAACTATCTTGATCAGCCTCTTCACCTTTCAAAGATTTGGAACTGAGAAAGTGGGTTATAGCTTTGCTCCCATACTTTGTGTTTGGTTCGCACTCATCAGTGGCATCGGAATCTACAATATCATAAAATTTGATCCAACAGTTATGAAAGCAGTAAATCCATTGTATATCATTCATTATTTCACAAGGAACAAGAAAGAAGCTTGGATTTCCCTCGCTGGAATTGTACTTTCCATAACAGGTAATAATCTCTCCATGCTTCCAAATTATAGTGAAAATAATATAATTTTATCTTTGATAAATTTGCAAGGTCTTAATGAACAGGATATGAAGCATTATTTACAGATGTCGGTCACTTCACAGTTGGGTCCATACAAATGAGCATATGCACAGTGGTGAGTGGTCTATCCTGCTCTGATTTTGGCATATTCTGGGCAAGCTTCCTTCCTGCGCAAACATCCTGAGCTCGTTGACAATACTTTCTTCAAGTCCATACCAGGTGAACAATATACAAATGACCCAAGTCTTTTCTCTATTGGTTTCTTTTCCATGTGAAATTATCTATTTTTTGATCAATTAATTTGTTTGGTGCATTGTTAAACAATCTAGGTCCTTTGTATTGGCCAATGTTTGTTGTGGCCATATTGGCAGCTATTACAGCGAGTCAAACCATGATTTCGGCAACATTCTCTATAATCCAACAATCGCTTTCGGTAGGATGTTTCCCTTGTGTGAAAATTATGCATACTTCGGCTAAACATCGAGGATAAGTTTACGTTCCTGAAGTCAATAACCTCCTCCTGTTGGCTACCTTGGGAGTCACTCTTGGTTTCAGGACTACTGAAAAGATTGGCAACGCATATGGTCATTTCTTGATTTATTTCATATAATTCAAAGGTTGAAGATGATAATATTACCACTGAAATTAATGAACTTGTGCGTGCAGGAGTTGCTGTGGTATTTGTGATGACACTGACAACATTCTTAATGGCACTCATCATGATAGTGATATGGAGATGCCCCATGCTTCTAGTAACCTCTTATGTTATTATCATTGGTAGTGTGGAGTTTTTCTATCTAACTTCAGTTGTTTACAAATTTGACCAAGGAGGGTATCTACCATTAGTTTTTGTTGCGGTTATGGTGGCTGTGATATATGTATGGAACTATGTGCATAGGAGGAGATACTATTATGAACTTAACAATAAGATTTCTGCTCAGAGGCTAAGAGGAGATCACCACAAATGTTTGTCGGATTCCTGGACTTGTTATATTCTACTCAGAGCTTGTTCATGGTATTCCACCCATCTTCCAGCATTATGTGGCAAGTGTACCTGCATTGCAGTCAGTAATTGTTTTCGTCTCCATCAAATGCTAACCAATGCAAAGGTTCCAGTCGAAGAGCGGTTCGTTTTCCAAAGGGCTGAACCAAAGGAGCTGAACGTGTTTTGTTGTGTTGTGAGGTATGGATACACAGATGTAGGCCAGAAGGAAGAGCTATTTGAGAGAATGTTAATGGTCAAATTGAAGGACTTTATCAGAGAAGATTATATTCTATCCTATGGAGATTTGGCTACTGGGTATGAGGATGAAGATTTAGAGTGGGAATGATATATGAGCTTTAGACTGAAATACAGTAAGACTGAGAATAAGTATACACCTGTGAATATATTTCTAAAGTTCATATATGACCATTCCCACTTTAAGCATCTTCTTGGAGTTAATACCAAAAACATTATCACTCCCTCTTAAATTATTCTTCAAGAAATTGTAAGCATAATCTATAATAGTTCTTTTACATATGCTAGATCCTTGTGCCGCCACCACCTCATTCTCACAAAGCAGTTGAACAAGCATATCTCTAGATGTATTACCTAAATGATTTTATAGCTTTGTATACAACTCTTTCTTTCATGTGATCTAGAAAATAATTTCATTTTCCTAGCGTAAAACTACGCTTATCGATTCTACATACAGACTCCCCATCTTGGCTGACGTTGAGTGTGACGTGGTCGAGGCTAGGGATTCCATTGTCGCACTCCATATCAGTCGGAATGGGAAATCAGTATACAGATTCGGTAAGTATAGTATTTTCCATAAAAAAAAAAAAAATTCTTTTTAATTTTACATGATTGACATGTGATTTTTTTCCTCTTTATTTAGCTTTTATTTCAAAAAAAAAAAACATATTTGCCCTCCCTAATATAAATTCATGATTTCCCCCTGACGAGGTGTGAAGTGAGAGAAAAGAGATTTCAGAATTGGGGTTTTGAATAAGATGACCTTTTCATTTTTCATTTTTAATTTTTTTTTTTATATTGTAAAAATAATAAGATAAGAGGTGTTCAACTTTTTATTATTGTGGCGTTGAGCAATTTTATTTAGGAAGGTGCTAACTCAACAAATTGAAATGATAAAAGCCTTTTTTTTTTTTTTTTTTAATCGGGATGTTTGAATCAATTTATGCATATCTCAATTAATTTTTAAAGTCTATTAAATATCTTACAAATTTAAATAATCAAATAAATCATAATATTATTATAGTAAATGATCTCAAAATTTGTAAAGATTACTACAGTTGTGCTCAGTGATGGTAAAATGGGGGGCGAAGCCCAATCACACTGAGCCGTCTGCGTGGGGATTGCGAAGCGCATCCACTCTGCATCCCCAGCATGAGGCCCCACGCGGCCTGATGCTATGCCAACACCTCAGGCGGCAATGCTGGGGCGCTAGTGGGCTAGGCTTCACACGGCCACCCTTTGTCGCCACCCAGCCACCTCCACCTTTGTTTTCCAGTTTTTCAATCTACTTTTACAAGCTAATATTCGTCAGTTCTTTCGTCGAAAAATCAACAGAAAATCAATGGAAAAGCACCATTAATACAATTTAATCTTTAATTGTAAGTTTTATTTGAATTTAATCCTAATATCAATTTTTTGTGTGGTTTGTATTAGTATATCTCGTTTTATGATCATACAATCATGGACCAAAAGCCCAATTGCTATCAAGCTAGCAGCCCAATGAGCCCATAGATGGAGAGGCTTCTCAAAGCATCTTACAGGAGAGACAGTGAGCAAACTTCCCGTGAGCTCAACCACCATTTCCCAAAAGCAGATGAAGATAACACCTTCTAGAGATCTGCCCTTTTTAATTACCATGCCAAATTGTTTACTTTCTCAAAACTCAATCCTGCAATATTTTATAAACACCTCCAACTTGGCCCTTCAAACGTATTTCTTAAAATCTTAACTACTAAATCAAAAAGGAAATAATCATGAAGCTCTGCTGAAGAAGAAAGTGGTGAAAGAGACATTAAAAAGCCAATACATGTGAGTCTGAAATAGGAAATGTAAAAGACAGAAATTTATTATCATAAATTGCAGTAGGTGGGCAGTTTTTTTTTTTTTTTCTTTTTTCTTTTTCGTCTGAAAAAATATTTGTTGCATATTTATTTCTCATTTGACTTGTTCAAATATTGAGTTGGAATGATCAAGAAGAAAATCAAATTCAAATTCAACAGAGATATTAACCCAATATTTTATTACTGGAACCACGAGGCGGGTTGTGATTTGGTGAGGAAGAGGATTATTCAGGGAGTCAAATGCAGGAAATTAAAAAAATAAACATTATTCAAATAAAAAAAAGTCGACTTCATTTCACGGACTTTCAAACAAATTTCAGATCAAAAGCTTTGGTTACAACACAAAAAGTTGCGTAGCATTCAAATTTTCACATCCACTCACTATCCCAAAATAGACTAAAACCAGACCACCAATGCTTCACCAAACAAAGAAAGCACAAACTTTGATCAAATTTATTTAGCCCAGAAAGCAAGAAACTGAAAAGAAAAGAAAACCCAGTAGACTCTGGGTTTCCTTTGTAGAAAATAATGGCTGCAACTGCGAAAGAATCAAGCTCTGGTGGCGAAACTAGCAATATCAAAGGAGTCCTCACACATGGCGGTCGTTACGTGCAGTACAACGTGTACGGTAACTTGTTTGAGGTCTCTAGCAAATATGTCCCTCCCATTCGACCCATCGGTCGAGGTGCTTATGGCATTGTTTGGTAAGTTTTTTGATTTTCAAGAGTTTTAGTGCGGTTTCTGACTTCCATAGGGAGTTTAATTGATGTAATTTGCTATAAGAGTAAATTTTGGTTGTTGGAAAGTTACATGTAAAACAAAAAAGTCTTTTTTTTTTTTTTTTTGTTCTCTTTCTATAATCTTACTTCGGTTGTTGGTACATGGCTTAGATGATTGAGTTTTGGGATTGTTTATGATATTTACTTTGATTTCTTGGTTTATTATCGAATGATGGGATGCCTCTTCAGCATAATTGTTTTATCTTATGAAGAAAACCGGCAGAAGGGGACAAAAATATGGTGTTTTTATTGTTTATTTATGTTGATTAGCCTCTTCTACAAGTTTGATGACGAATTAATTGCTATAATTTTTGCTTGCTACTTAAAATATTACTTATCTGCTCGGAACTTTTAATATGGGGACTGTATATTTGGTATTTGCTACTCTAGCAAAGATACTTTTTTCTTATTTAGTTGATAAGTTTCTTGTATCTGGAATGTTTTGGTGTATAATACATATCTTTCTTTTCAGTGCTGCTGTAAATTCAGAGACACATCAGGAGGTTGCCATTAAGAAGATTGGTAATGCGTTTGACAACCGAATAGATGCCAAAAGGACATTGAGAGAAATTAAGCTTCTTCGTCACATGAGCCATGAAAATGTAAGTTGTGTGTCTTTCTCATTGCCAAAGTTACATTTTTGGTTTATGCTTCAAGGTTATCCTCAACTCTCATGATGATAATTTCACACTGTACCCTTGTTTCATGATCTATTGTTTACTTATAAACAGGCTTCCAGGTGAGCTATAGTCTGTAGGCTTAAGATGATAAAAATGCTTATGCTTGAATTTTTGATTTGGTGGATGTGCCATAACTCAGTACATGAGTAGATCTCGTTAGAGTTGATAGTCCTTTCTTTGACATCTGCTCATTTTACTCTCAGCCGCATGATTAGTACCTTTTTCTGTATTTTATTTATAGTGGATGCCTTGAGAATAAGCCAGCGAGCAATTAGAGGTGCTGTATGGACCTCTGAATCTTATGCTCTGCATCCAAAGATTGATGATTACTGTCAAACGCCTGATACTTGTAACATGCTACATATTATAATTTAATTCCACATAGGTATCCTTTTATCAGAACCAGAGTAGTTGAAATATGCATTATCTATTATCAACTTCAAGTGGATTAGATTTATCTTCCTCTGGAAGTGGCTTTAAATGTATCACTCGCTCTATATGTGAGCCTTTATTTCTGACAACTTTTTGTGTATCGACAGGTCATTGCTATCAAGGACATCATACGGCCCCCCAAGAAGGATACTTTCAATGATGTCTACATTGTTTATGAATTAATGGACACTGATCTTCATCAGATAATTCGTTCTAACCAACCACTAACAGATGATCATTGTCAGGTTTGTCACTAACAATAGTTTTTGGGTTTACACATTGTCATTGGAACTACTTTTATCAAATTATTTTTCTTCTTATTTCTTGTTAAAGTTCTTTGACCACATAGAATGACTTTGTATCTTAATAATATACTTTTGATTCCCCTGTTTTTCTGATTAAGATGTGGACTAAGGGATGATTTCTAAGTCCTAGTGTGGAAAATTATCTATTTTTCAGAATTTTGTATTTCTGCACCGGACATTTATTCTACCTATGTAGTTTTTAGATGTGGGAGTACATTGACTTGTTTCTAGAATATGCTGGATTTGAAACCGAGCTTGACATTGAGTTTCACAAAATTTTTGCAGTACTTCTTATATCAGTTGTTACGAGGGCTGAAATATGTACACTCAGCCAGTGTCCTGCACCGTGATCTTAAGCCAAGCAACTTGCTTCTCAATGCCAATTGTGACCTAAAAATTGGAGACTTTGGGTTGGCAAGGACGACATCTGAAACAGATTTTATGACTGAGTATGTCGTCACTCGTTGGTACCGAGCACCAGAGTTGCTCCTCAACTGTACAGAATACACTGCTGCAATTGATATATGGTCTGTTGGTTGCATACTTGGTGAAATTATGACCAGAGAACCTTTGTTTCCTGGGAAAGATTATGTCCATCAGCTCAGACTTATCACTGAGGTATGATTATGGGTGGTTGTTAAGGTTTTTTTAAACTAAAGCTATGAAATTTCTTTGCTGCTGTTCTACACAATCTACAGTAGCTCATTATTACTGGTAAGTTATAACCTAAATCAAAAGGCACCACCCCTGTTTAGAAGTTGCTGGACCATTTCTAAGACTCTACACAAAAACACTCAAAAAAGACACATTTAAACACAGATAAAGACTCTGAAATGGTTCACTTTTGGTTACACTCTAGAGGGAATTCCCCTTTGGTAAGGTTTTGCACCTGTTAACACAAAATAACTTTAATTGCTGTTGAAGTATATAACTTTCTAGGTGAGGTGGAATGCCTGGGTGGACTTAGTTTTGATAGTCAGTTACAGATTATATCATACTGCCATTCTTGAATCCAAGACCAGACATCTTTGCTGATTCTTTAGGTCTCTTGTGCTTGTTATGGCTTATATTCGATTCTGGCAGAACCTTCCTAATCTATTCTTTTCATTCATGGAAGATATATATATTTATATATTGAATGCTGTCATTCTGGTAGTAAGAACAGAGTAAAATTCTTTTTCTTCTCAGTGTTCATGCTTATGACATCATCCCTGTGTTTTTTTTCTTCTTGTGTTAAAGTTAATAGGCTCACCTGATGACGCCAGCCTTGGATTTCTCCGAAGTGATAATGCCCGAAGATATGTTAGACAGCTTCCACAGTGCAGGAAGCAAAATTTCTCTACTAGATTTCCCAATAATTCTGCAGGGGCTGTTGATCTGCTAGAGAAGATGCTTGTCTTTGATCCCAACAAACGTATTACAGGTGCGAGGAAAGATACAGATTTCCAGCACATCATTTTTTTTTCCTCCCTGTCTAACCTATTAAAAGTTTTTCATATACTAATTCTTTTTCATCTGTTTGCAGTTGATGGGGCACTTTGTCACCCATATTTGGCGACTCTTCATGATATCAATGATGAGCCTGTCTGCCCCAGGCCTTTCAACTTTGATTTTGAGCATTCGTCATGTACTGAAGATCACATCAAGGAGCTCATCTGGAGGGAGTCGGTGAAGTTCAACCCAGACCCAACTTCTTAGGAGCATCCTTTGCTTGTGCTGTAGAAATTCATACAAAATAACCTCTTTTCCCCTAATACGATGGTCCATCACTCTTCCCTAGAGTGGATAGGAATAGGAACAGCATTGGAGTTTGTTTTCTTGTCCCTTAAGGCTGGAGTTAGGTAATGTGTAAGGAGCTGTACAATAACTTCTCTGAGGGTTGGGGATTTAAAAGTATGGTCAGGAGGACAATTGCATGTTAGTTTAGGTACTTAACAAATCTGTTAAAAGCTGCTTGAACTGAGTTTGATAAGAAACTGGCAGAAAACTTCTCTCTAAGTATTACTAGTTTGGAATTTTAGCGCTTCAAGCAAATATTGTGGATATATTGTTCATGGATCTGACTTCTCTCTTATTAGAACCTTTTTGAGTTAATATAATGACCTGTTTGCCTGTATCTCTGTGTGGTTTGGATATCTACCATTATTTTGTTGTTTGCTTTTTCCAATGTAGTTTACCGGATTCCAGGAAACTAAAATGCAAAGTGCTAAAACTGAGAAACTGTTGGGATCCCACATTGAAAGGGAAAAGGGTGGGCATGTGGGTTATAAAGGCTTGGGCACCCTCCCTTGGCAAGCCGGTTTTCCAAGGAGAGTTCTACCCAAGCCCATGAAAGACCCATGGCCCAACCCAAATTATTGAGTTATTAGAGTGGGTTCCTATCAGAAACATTTCCATCCTTTATATGGATTTTAGATATTCAATTATTAATCAACTTTTTGCATGTAGAAGTTTCCCTATGTTGACAGATCAATCTGTATCAAAACTACTTCTTGTAGTAACAAGTGCGTAATTTAAGGTTATCAATAGGCAAACTATCTTCAGGAAAATTGCATTGTTTGATCTTCTCTGGCCCTTGATCCGGCAACATCTCACATGGTTTGGGAGTCACGCCACTTGAAATCCCTTCAACATCTGTACAGTCCCATTGTAGTTTCTTTGGCTTTGCTGATAGTCCAATGGTCGCATTAGATATACAAATTTCAGAAAATTTGTCACCGGGAATTCCCTCCAATTTAGCAGCCATTGTTACATTCTCAGCAACGATATCACGATAATTGATATTTTGAATCACTGGAAGTGCTTTAGGATCATATTTATTATCAGGATGATCACCGTAATTGCCTGTCATCCAAAATACCCATTTCATGGTTTTCAGAGTCATCCCTCGGACGTATATGTCTTTTACAAAGCCTCCTCTTCCTACAGCAGATTTGATTCTAACCCCAGATTCAGAATGAATGGCTGTGATGTCTTCTGCCCTGACATCTTCAATCCCACCAGACATCTCACTACCCAGAGCAATCACCGCACTGAATGGAGAAATGCATGTTAGTCGCCGGATAACAAGCTGCTTTGTTGGCATCCCAAATGAAATTCCATACTCGTCCCAACCACTTTTAACTGCTACACAATCATCTCCGGAGACAATGTAACAATCCTCAATTCGGGTATTTGTGCAAGAATCTGAAACCAAAATGAAATGTTTTAACTCAGTGTTACTACAACTCTTTAAAGCGGTCATGGTACTTTCTTGATTCTCACCTGGATTGATGCCATCAGTGTTTGGAGATGTCACTGGTGCTAGGATTGTTATGCCTTGAACAATGACATTGCTGCAAAAATATGGATCAATATCTGTCTTACATTTTTTATTTCTCTTGTTTTTTCAACACAATCTTAGAAACAAGAATAAGCAAGCAAAAGAGAAACCTGCAATAAGTAGGGTGAATATTCCAGGATGGAGAGTTGATCAATGTGAGACTGGATATCTGAACATTCTCAGAGTACAAGATTTCAATAAGGTAAGGCCGGGTATACTTCAGCTGTTTTGCACGGAATTTTGTCCACCAGGGTTCACCCTGACCATTAATAGTTCCATTGTCCCCTGAAAGGAAATAAAACTCCATTTATCAACAATCCCAAGTACTTTTGGAAATTCAATTGTGATTAATGCAGTGATCTGTACCTGTTATGACAACATCAGTTAGGTTGGTTCCAAAAATTAGGCTGCTATACCTTCCACCTTCAGCATTATCCCTTCCTCGACCATATGATGGTAAAGGTTCAATAAGGGGCCATTCCCTTTCATCCTAATCCAATTGATAAATTGTCACAAATCATGAACAGAATTGAATAAAAATGTCAAGCAGATCATTTTCATCAATATCATATGCTCTTAAGGATGCTGAATATACGTCTCAGAATCAACTATAATTAAGAAAGTACAGCCCATTCTAAGTGTGCCTAAGAGTTTTTACTGTTAGATGACCAAAATTAAATTAAAAATACATCATATTGAACGCAGAAAAGTCCTTGGAAAAGCATCTTCACCGCCACAATTGAATGCAGAAACGTTAAGACTAGGTAAGCTTGCTAGAATAACTGAAGATCATGAGATAGTAATTACAAATTAAGCCGTTTCACTTTAACGGCTTAAAACAGTGCATTCCGGTTTCTATTAGATTTACTCAATGCATTTTTCCTTGAAAATTATGGTATGTGTGATCCATCCAATTCCAACCTCCCCACAAAATGCGGGTGTCATATTAGACATCTAGTTAGATGAACTGTTTTCTTATGGGCTAAGACTTTGAAATGTTGTTTACTGACCTGAGAACCAAGAAGAACAGCATCCTTGTGAAGATACAAAGTAAAATGGCTGGTGAGATTGAAGCTTCCGGTCAACCACTTTCCGGGAGGAATATAGAGTTGGGACCCGCCAACTGTTGCGAACTGGCTCAAATGGTCTATTGCAGCCTTAAAAGCCTTTGTGTTTGATGTAGTTCCATCACCAACTCCGCCAAAATCTTCCAACGAAGCACTGTGAGCTCTGCAACTTATAGCCGGATACTGAAAGGACACCAAATCATGGGCCCTTTTTCTACTCTCAACTCCATTTGTGTTCAACAAAACAAGTACACCAAGTAATCCGATGATATTAAGTACCTGGAAAAGAGATTGTGTGGACTGAATTATAAAAGATTTTTGTTTCTTTAAAAGAGCAAGTGAGACATGAATCAACCAACAAAAGAAATGCAAAGAACCAGACTGAATTATTATAAACCAAAGGGATGTTAAGAAGCCAGAGATAAGGCAAAGACTAAAGTAGAAGAATTTACCTGAGTTCTTCTGAGACTTGTCCATAATTCATCCATTGGAAAAAAAAAGTGGGGTGGATTGATGTAGCTTGTAAATAATAAAGAGTCCAAAAGACGGAGTCTTTGTTTCAGTATATATAGAGAGGGATGTGGGTTGTAACGCCAAAAATTCTATTATATTCCAACCAGTTTGTCAAGTTTCCCGTTTTTAATTCTAAGCAAAAGGAAAGTAAGAAGAATATGCAGATATCATGTAGACTACTAGTAGATAATACTCATTAAGAAATTTCTTATTATGTAGTAAAGATTATGGTATAATTGACATATATAGTTATAAGAAAGTTCAAATTCCATTAGCAAAAAGTTGGAAGTTATGATACATTGGATATTACCAGTAGCCACCCACCCCACTATTCTGGTTTATGGGATATACCTAACAAACTGCAAGTAGTTTTATAATTACACGCTTCACCCACGTGGCAAATGGATTCTTACAAGCCATTGGTTTATGAATATGCAATTTGTTTTCATTTCTGCCAACCAATAATAATGACTAACGTTATTAGAATGGTTGTATAGAGACTCTTGAATATATTACTTAAGAGATTCTATATTTGAGTCTCTCTTCTATTAATAATAAAGATAACTACTAAAACTATTATTCGATGGTTCCAAGGTCCTATGAGTTGAGATTAGTTGAAGTGCAGTTCATCAATGCTATAGTTCTGTCAGTAGAATGCAAATAAGGCCTTTTTTCTTATTTTCAAGGTTGGTATTTCTATTTTAAACAGCAATTAATTTTCAACAGAGTTGGTAAAGACAAACTACATGCGAGTTTCATTCTACAGTGTCTCTCTCATTAAAAATGGTTGAAATGAATTGATTTGGTCCGCATATCACGTTAACTCGTCAGCTTCTGTTTTCCATTAGCATCTCGTGACAAAACTCACAGCTACAGTGGCCAGCCCTTCTTCACGGACCAAAGTATCAACTCTACCGTCATCTAAATTAGTTAATCTTTGAAGTTGAAGTGCATTCAGAGCTCATAATTCTGGTTAGCCATGTGTGTAAAGCAAGGTAGTCAACCATAATAATTCTTCCATTGAAGAATAATAGAGTTCCCGTAATTACTCCTATAATTGAGATGTACATTAAGGAAAAATATATCCAGAAAATCAATTAGCAACTAACACCCTATAGGATTCCAAACATTAGGTATATCATGGACTTCTCAACAATGTGGGTCTCCATTTAAATAAACTAATCCATAGGAATCATTCTGGAGACAACATTTGGGAAAACAAGAGTATTTTAATTCCTAGTTTCTTTCGTGATAGTGACTTTTGTGGGTCTGCAGTAAGTATAAAATTGTTTTCTTGGTGCATGACTCCAGTCCCACTTCTGCCTTCTGGTTCTGGTATTGGCTCATAGTGGGCTTTTAAAATACACTAGATTTTGTCGTTTGATACTGAGGCTACCATTACCTATCTTTATTGTACTTTTTATTGTTTTCTTCTGAAGAAATGAATAAAATCTTGGAAATGGATAAAAAACTAACTTCAGTGTGATAGTAGCATGTGAATGTTCTGCTTCAGTTCTCCCAAGTTGCAATCCTGCTTGTCATCACAAGGATTACTGGCACTGCTTGTTACAGGATCCAGATAAAATTAATTAATTAACCAAAGCATTTGAAAATTAACAATTTGACATGCTTTAACTTCCAAGGCAGAAGCAAAAATAAGCTCTAACAAACCTTAAGAGTTTGACCACAGTCAAAAGGTTTTGTTTCTTTATTAGTTTCTGTGTTCAAACCTCGGGACTACATACAAGAATAACCTTTTAGCTTACCTGGTCCTTTGTACTTTAGAGTGTTCAATAAACCTCATAGATTAGTTGAGATTGAGGTGAACAAATGGGTCGGTTAGCGGGTCAACCCTAACCCAATCCGCAATGAAGAGGTTGAACCCGGACTGCCAATAAGGCGCCGGGTTGAACCCAACCCGGCAGCAACCCCCGAGCGGGCCGGGTTGCAAAATGGCAATCTGCCAACCCGCGGGTTGCTGTTTTGTCCTTTCTAAAGAAAGAACCGCCAACCGCGAGCTGGCTGTTGTAACCCGCGGGTTTGTGTTTACCACCAACGGCCAACTCGTCGGTTGACCCGCGGTTGGCCGAAAAAAATAAAAAAAATAGAAAATTTTATTTGTTTTTTCAAATTACCTATTTACCCTGAAATATGCCGTTTTATAGCATGGGAGGGGTCTTTTTCGTTATTTTCTTTTCCCATTTTTTTTCTATAAATTAGCCCTAAACTCCACATTTTTCTCACAACTCAAATTCTCTCATTCTCATATTTTCTAATCTCTAATCTCTCAATTATTCATTTATTCTCTTAATCTCTTTGTTATCAATTTGCTCATATTTTATTTTTATTAGTTTTTTTTGCAATTTTTAATTCATATTCCAAATTCCAATTCCAATTCTCTTTCTTTAATTTTTATTTCTCTACATCATTTTTTTTTTTCAACTATAATGGATAGATATTTCTCTCCCATCAATTACATGATGAAGAAAACTATATCCTAGTCCTAGTCCTGCTGATTTACTAACATAAATGCAAGAAAAGATTCAAATAGTCCCGCTTCCCTTCTTAGAATCTGTACACCTCAAAATATGCCCCTGATTCCAACAGCTCCCGATGGTTCTAAAAGTCGTCCTCGTAATCGTCGTCTCTCAACTCCATCTCAAGCTGAGGCGGGTTCATCAACTGCCGTCGAACTGAAGACAGAACCCCATCAAACGTTTGGGCGCATTTCGCATCGTTACGAGACGAAAATGGCGTTCAAGTCAAGAAAGAGAGATGCAAATACTATGGAAATATTTATAAGTTGATTTAGTAAAGTACTAGTACTATTATTAAAAAGGCATGCTAATAACAATATACACATGGAAATAGAGAAAGCAATCACTCAAATATTATGGATACTACTTGGCGTTATATTCTGATGTATATACGGAACAGTGCTTTATATATTGCTGCAACTGATCAACCTATATGGCTGAAGAAATATTTGAAAGATTTGTTCAAAACAATGTTTTAAAACCCGGCCCGGCCCGCCGTTCAACCAGTTCAACCGGGACCCGGCCAGCAACCGGGCCGGGTGAGCTTTATAACCGGTAGAATACTTCTGTCCTTTTTGACCCGCGGTTGACGGGGGTTCTGTAGCCCCGCCGTCCAACCGGTGACTTTAATAAACCGGTCATGCACATTAATACAAATTTAAAAATTAAAATTTAAATTTAATAAATATAAAACAGTAAACACTTGACTTGTCTCACTTTACAGTATCAACATTTCCCCCCATTTTGACATTTTCACCCTACTTCTTCCCTCCTTTCGTCTGAAAACTCTGAAAACCATTTGCATTTTCAATTTTTTTCATCATCCACGAGTCTCCCCTTCACCAATCATCTTCGACTCGTCGCATTAGCCTTCACCGCACTGTATAGCTCGCTCAGCTGGGCTGTTGGGGTACCGCGCGATCTGTTCTCATGCCTCCTCTCACCATCGATCTGCTCTGTTCTCTGTCTCGTCGATCAAGAAGCTACACCGCCGTTGTCATCTTCTCTTGCTCAAGAACTGACCTGTGGGCAGTTGCGATCTCTTCTTCTCTTCTGCAATCGTAGTTCTGCTCTGTTCAGTACTTCAGTCTTCAACTGTTCATCCATCACCGTCGAGCTCCACCTCCCAACGGTCAACCAGCCTCTCTTCATTCTTCACCAACACCAGGTATTGATTTGTATTTTCATTTTTAGTTTTTTACTACATGTTTATACTTACTTATAGTTTATAGTTTATAGTTTATAACTTTGCAAGTTTGCAGTTTATATTGCCGTTGATTGCTTCATTTGTGATGCTGATGTAAAGTGAAGTTGAAGTGTTGAACACATGTTAATAATTTGAACCCCAAATAAGTAGTACCGAGACAAGTTTTAGCCAGTTGTTCCACATTATTTCCTTGCCCTTGTTTGATTCAAAACACTCAACTCATTTGTGATGATGATTCTTGTAGTTATATTTTTGTTATCTTCCATAAGTGATTAAAGGAGGTGTGCCATTCGTACTTTCTAGCAATCTCATGTCTAGTGCTTGTCTTGTCGCCCAACCTCCTGATGAGGCTTAATAGTTGTCTCGTCTCCCCCACTCCCCCATTGACAATAAAATAGAACACATAATAAATACTGCAACTAAAATGCTAACGAGTGGTGATGATTAGTGACCCTAAACCTAAAGGACATCTAGCTTGCTTTTCAGATTTTAAATAGGGGTATATGGATATGGATTTGTATTATGATTCTTATTATAGTCAGTTTCTTCTATTGATTTTAAATAGGGTATTGGACATGTCAGATTTTAATAGGGGTATATGGACTTGTAAGTTGTAAGTTTGTTTGCTTCATTTCAGTTAGTCACTACATTAGCTTACATATATTTTTGATGTTACAGCCTGTCGCTTGAGATGTCATCATCTGGGTCTTGTCAACAATCTGCTTCCATGGATGTTTCAAAACTTTCGAGGAACAAATGAATAGCATGGGCACCTGTTAATGAGAGTGTGGATGAAAATGGGAAGAAGAAATTAACATGTCTTTACTGTGGCAAGAATATAGAGTGGAGATTTATCGAGTGAAATTGTATCTAGCGGGTATAAGGGAAGTTGGAAAGTGCCCTAAAGTTCCTTTCGATGTTAAATTCAAGATTGGAGAAGCACTAAATGAAATTGGGGCCAGAATAAACAAAGAGTTGACCTTCGTAAGAATGTCAATCCTTATGGAGCTAGTGTACAATAAGAAGAGAGTGATTTTTAGATGAAGTAAGATGTGAGAGGTTTCTCCATGTCCAACTCCAACTCCAACTTCAATTTCAAGCTCTAAGAAAAAAAATTTGGGATGTGTATTTTGCTCCGAGGACAAGGTTGGGTCTCAGCCCAATTAGGAGTGTTTTAGCCGGAAAAGAAGCTATGGAGAGCGGACATGGCTGTTGCAAGTTATTTTATGATTCTTGCATTCCAACTAATGTTATAATTCATATTTCAACCTATGGCGGGTGCTATAGCGCTATTGGTCCTGGGTATAAAATCCCAACTTATCATAATTTGCGTGTAAATTTATTGAAAGATGCAAGGAAAGAAGTGCATACTTTGTTGATAGTTCAAGAAAACTTGGGAGATTGGATGTACTTTAATGGTTGATGGTTGGACGGATAATTCACATAGGTCGTTGATTAATTTCCT